TTATAAATTAGCATAGTTCCAGCATAGGCATGGCGACACAAATAGAGCTATGATAATTAAGCATGCGACGCGGAAAATATCTCATTATAATTTAAGACATTAATGCTCCCCCCCCCCAACCCACCCACCCACCTCCAAGACGTTCATAAGCGCATTAATATTTTAGATTCTCCTTTGCCGGAGTATGTGCCCTGCTCTACCAAACATCGTTAGGGGTAATTTCCGCCCATTATTGTCTCTAAGAAGCATCATTAATATCGGTGGTCACGAGCTCTTATCACCTAGAATGTATTAGCGCGCGGCGCGTGCGAGTGTTAGTACTCCAAGCCGTGTTAGTATTATACAATATAGATAACAAAGACAGCCTTAACAGACTGTCGGGGCAAGTGCTGTGAGCGAGTAGCAGCACTGATGAAGGTCGAAACGGCACACGGGGGGAGGGGGTGGGGGTGGGTGGCCACCAGCACCACGCCCGGCCGCCTTTGTCTCCCCCAGTGTCGATGTTTACTACACACCGCCACCAGGTTACTCATTTTGAGGCTGAGTCGACCTAGGGGGAGACCCCAGGACTGCTTTCAGATAATCGCCACCGGTGTTGTCACCGTGAGCGGGAATCGAACTCGGGTCGCCGGAGTTCGTAGCGCAGCGCGGGCTAACCGCTACACCGCCGCTCCCCACTATATACAATTTATATATACAAAGACGTAAACACACACACAGATAGGAGGTTTAATCTCTATAGACTGTCGGGCCAAATGCTGTTAGCGAGCACGGGACACGTGGGGTTGGTGTGGCCAGCGACTCGCTCGTACATCCGCCCGGCCACCTTTGTCCCCCCCCCCCCCCCCCCGGGGTTTCTCGTGCAAGGGACCGAGTCGGACCCAGTGAGGGGTGGGGGGGTGGGGGCACTAATATCAGCTGCCCGTGACCAGGAATTGAACCGAGGTTGGCCGGGTTCGTAGCGCAGCGCGCTAACCACACGCACGCACACGCACGCGCGTTCGTCCGTACGCAACACCGCGGCGCACAAGCGTTTTCGTAGCGACTGTTAGTCGATTATTAGTGAAGAGAATTAGTGAGTTAGTGTGTTAGTAACATTAGTACATTAGTTGTGTTAGTAGCGCAAGCAAGAGCGACCTTCCGCTCGTCACGATAGCCGGGATCGCGGTTAACGGGGTGCGGAATTCCCGATATCCGCACAGTAACCACGGTCGCGGTTAATAGGGTCCGGCATTCCGGGTATCCGAATTTTAACCACGAATGCGGTTAAGGGGGGCGGGATTCCTGATATCCGCACAGTAACCACGGTCGCGGTTAATAGGGGGCGGGGTTCCCGGTACCCGCACTTTAACCACGTTCACGGTTAATAGGCTCCGGAATTCTCGATATCCGCACTTTAACCACGATTGCAGTTAATGGCAGTGAGGGGGGGGGGGGTAGAATTCCCCATATCCGGAGCATAGCCGTAGCCGCGACGACATTGGGCCTCCGCATGGACGACCACCGGCGGTGAGCGGTTAGTAATGGCGAGAGCACAGGTGCAGGCAAAGCAGTCAATCGGGTTAGTATTGTTAGTACTGGTTAGTAGCTGGTGGTGGGGGGGGGGGGACATGTCCCCCCCCACCCCCTCCTCCTCCTCCGTTAACCCCCCCACCACCCCACCCCATCCGACACTCCTCCCAGGGAGCAATTGAGCTGTGAGCAACGTCAGTGAGTAGTTCGTAGGCCAGATGGTAAGGCTAATGATACCAATCATAACGGGGATGTTGTCATTCACTCAGCCCATCATCATCACCATCATCATCCCCTCTGGGGGGAGATAAAATTACTTATGTTCTCTGCAGCGATGGCTAGTGATTACATTTGCGTTGTCCACGTATGGTACAAATCTTTGCATCGAACACGGACCCATGGCTGAAAGAGAGGGTCGTTGCCTCGATAATTGTCTGGCAGTTCACCAGCGGAGTCGAACAAGTCTGCCTCTGCTGATGGGACATCGCGTGTCGCAACCGGTCCAGAGTTTGGCTCGTATTCTGAATCAAAGCCGCTGAAATGACACGATCCCAAAAGTCCGTGTTGGCAATAGTTCCATAATGTAGGGGGTTTTGTTGGGGCTAGATGCCGTAAATATAAATGTGTCGCTAAACCCGCCACCACCCGACACAGCCAATCAGTCAGGAAATACTTACATTTTTTTTATTAAACGTGCAGAGCCGAGTTTGTGTAGGAAACATTTTGCCTGCTCATCTAAATTCGGCTTTACAAATATAGGTGGCTTCACGAGCCTACTTTCTGTACTGCAATCTGCCACTAAAGCCATGTGGCTGGGGGAGTTGAGACGCGGTCGCTTGTTGATAGCGCGACGTGTCCCCCCGTGTGCGTCTGTGTGCGAGTGTTTGTGTACGCGGGGAGCGGTGGCGCAGCGGTTTAGCGCTGCGCTACGAACCCGGCGACGATTCCCCGCTCACGGCCGACACCGGTGACGATTATCCGAACCGGTCCTGGTCCTCCCCTACGTCGACTCGGCCTCAAATGAGTCCCTGGTGCGGTGTGCAAAAACATCGCTACTGGGGAGACAAAGGCGGCCGGGCGTGGCGCTGGCCACCCACCCCCTCCCTGTGCCGACCTTCATTCGGTGCTGATCGCGAACAGCACTTACCCCTCCAGCCTCTTCAGGCTATACGGCTGATCTTTGTCTTTGTTTGTATACAAAATCATTTACATTTAAATGAGTGCGGATGACGTGGCTATAGGTTTTGTTTCCAGATATTGTTTTCTTTCTCCACCTCCCCCGCTGTTGATTTGTTATTTTGCTCTTTCAGCCCCTAATGCCACACGTTTAGCGAAAATGCGGTCATAATTTCTGAATAAACACAACACAATTCCTGCAAATTGATTCCGGGAAAAACGAAATTGGCAAAGGGTCGTTTCTCCGCCACCGCCTCCCCCCCCCGCCCACTTCCACAAAATGAAACAATTAAACACGCACACGGCACGCACAGGTACACGCACGCTGGCGCACACGAACGGTCGTGCATACCAGGTGCATACACGCATGTTGACACGCCATCGCTCCCCACGCAGGCATGCCAAAGACAAAGACCCCTCCCCCCCTCTATAACCTTCGCGTGCTGTTAGCGGACACTGACGAAGGCCGGCACGGCACACGAGTGGCCACCACCACGCCCGACCGCTTTTGTCTCCCCGGCGGCGAGATTTACGCACCGCAGCAGCGACTAGTTTTGAGGCCGAGTCGACCTAGGGGGGAGGCCCAAGACTGGTTTCAGATCATCGTCACTGGCGTCGGTGGCCGTGGAGCGGGAATCGAACTCGGGGTGCCGCCGTGTTCGTAGACGCAGTGCGCTCACCGCTCCCCGCACACACACACGCGCGCTCGCACAGACACGCACGCACTGCCAATGACGTCTCGGACGCAGCTCCCGACGACGAGTGCCGGCAACCGACTGCCTGGGCGCCCCGAATTCTCTGGTTGCTCACAGCTCAGGGGTGGCCCAGTGGCGCGAGATGCGCGTGGCGTCGTCCCCCCCCCACCGTGGGTTTGTCAGCGAGCGGTGGGGCAAACCCAGGGAGGACGAGAGCGGGGGGTGCCAGCCGAATCAACGACGCAGCCGCCGCCGCGCGGAGTGCGGGGGGGGGGGGGGGCCTGGTCCCTTTGCTCCCCGGTGAACCCACGGGGGCCCTCAACTGGACAAAGCCCCCCCACCCACCCCACCCCCCGTTGGCCTCCCGTGAATGCGCAATCTCAGATGCCACGCAGCGCTGCTCGCGTTTGGGCCCGAGCAGGCTGTTCTAATTCACTGCACAGGCGTCCATTCCAATTGTAATTATTCAGCAATTTAAACGTTGAATTATTTCGCGGTCGCGCAGAGTCGCCGCCACGAGACTGCTCAATTCCGTCGCTCTGCCCGTCTCTCTCCTCCTCTCTCTCTCTCCCTCTCGTTGCTCTCTCCGATCTCTCCCCTCGCTCTCCGCTTCCCCTCTCTCCCCCCCCCTCCGATCTCTCGCCTCTCTCCACGCCTACATGCACACCCTCTCCCTCCTTCGCTCTCCACACACACACACACCTCGCTCTCTTTCACACTCACACACACGCCTCTTGCGATGAAGAGGGGGGGGGGGGGCATCGCCTGAAACGTCGGACTATGAGTACGTCAGTGCGTGCGTGTCTTGTTCTGTTCCAAGGCGGGGGGCAAGGGGGTGTATCGCGCAGCACTGCGCCCCCCCCCCCCCCCCCGTTCCCTAGCGCCCTTCCCCAATGGACGCGTTCCTATGCAACACATTTGTGAAGCGAGGCCTTTTTTGATTAACGAAGGGTTCGTCCGTCACGATCTCGACAGCTACTCACAGGAGGATGACTATTCATGTTCCAATTTAAAAACCCCAGTCATGAGGAACAACGCGGGGTTTTTTTTACCTTCATCATCAGGCGCCACGGTATTACGAGCAATCTCCCAGCTCTCATTACCCGCTCGGTCTCATCTGGCCTATCTCTAGTTGCGTGCCATGAAGAAGGCCCATTGCCTGGAACGTCAGATATTTAAGTTTTTGTTCTTTCTTTTTCAATGCCGTTTGCCAAGTGACCTGCGCATTATTGAAGGACTGGGACTTTGGTCACCAATCGATAAACGGGTAGCCAATTTTACCCGCCAATATCCACAAGCCTTCGTCCGTCGACAAAAAACGACTCCGTCAAGTCTTAAAGCTGCGGTCCGCCCAGCGTGCAAGTCTGATCGGAGCCCGCGCACGACCGCATGAAGTTATGAATTAAATAACATTACGGGAGAGACGCCCGCTGCAAAGTTTACAAAATTAAATGAAAATAAAACTTAAATGATGATCGATGACGATGGCGGTGACGATGATCAGCGCTTACATTTCCACTGGGGCTGCCTGGGGCTGAGCTCCAGAATGTACGTCCTTGTCCCCCCCCCCCGCCCCCCCCCCCCCCCACTGTTGGGTGGAGGTGTTTGTTTGGGGGGGGGGCGATGCGGGGGGGGGGGGGGCGATGGGGGGCGGGGGCGATGGGAGGAGATCCAGACAAAAAATATTCCATGGAGAAATCAAGGGCTAATGAAGATGATTACGATGACAAAATAAGAGAAATCAATTGCTGACGATACTCTGTTGTTGGCGTAAGGAGAGTCGGAAACCACTTCGCCAACGAAGGCTGCACCGTTAGTAGGGTCGAGTTAGTAGGTGGGGGGTTTTCATAAAGCAAAGTTATTTTTAAAAAATAAATACGAAATGATGAACGAAGCAAAGCGCCGAATACACCGAGCATCTTCTTGTTTCCACTGATCGTAAAAAAAAAAAGTAGATGGTGGTGGTCGTGGCCATGCGGTGCTGTGGCCTGGTCGGTATCAGCGGCCGCGCTTGCCGTCAGACGAGACGTGGAGTCACCGGCGTGGCGGCAGCCGGCGGATTTGACATCTCTGGGAAACCTCCGTGGGCCCTCGGTCCTCGCTCGGTGAGTCCCCGGCGAGTCCCCGGCGAGTCCCCGGTGAGTCCCGGTGAGCGACTTGGTGAGCACAGAATTCTGACCTCGTCCCTTCTCTCCCAGAGTCATCGCCTGCAATGATAAAGACAAAGATCCCCCCGATAGCCTTAATAGACTTTTGGGGAAAGTGCCGTGAGTGAGCAGCACCGATGAAGGCCGGCACGGCAAGCGAGGAGGCGGGTGGCCAGCACCACGCCCGGCCGCCTTTGTCTCCCCGAGTGGCGATGTTTACACACCGCACCAGGTTACTCATTTGAGGCTGAGTCGACCTAGGGGAGGCACAGGAGTGGTTAAGATAATCGTCACAGGTGTTGGCCGTGAGCGGGAATCGAACTCGGGACGCCGGCTTCGTAGCACCGCTACACGCAAACACAGAGACAGACAGAAACACAGGCACATCAGACGGACACACAGATGCACGCACAGAGACAAAAACCCACGCCTACCCAACCACCCACGGTCCACTTAACTCCGAGCCCTCCTATAAAACAAACGAGGAATGGATTTCCCTGCCCCCGCCCCCTCCTCCTCCTTTAGGATCAGCACCACCACCACTTGAAGCAGCAACAACAGCAGCAGCAGCCTCAGCAGCAGCGATCGATTTGACAGCGGCGGCGGCTGCGGTGCTACAGCTGGGAGCAGAGGCTACTTTGGCCACAAATTGGCCGCGCGAAGCCCTGAATTTGAACGCGATGAGAATGGGGGGGGGGGGGGCCTTGTGGTTTTCTTGCTGCCTCCCCCCCCTCCCCTACCGCCCCCACCGCCCCCCACCCCAATCTCGAAATGAGCCACCGCCGACGCTTTAGGGGCGACATTCAGAATCTGAGTTTGACACTGGGGAGCTGTAGCCGGCACACGTGGTGCGTGTAGACACCATTAGACACGGAGGCGGTGGAGGGGGTGGGTGGGGAGACGCCGCTTATAGCTTAGAGGGGGGGGGGAGCAGGAGGGTTGATGGGGTAGTTAGACCGCCATTCAATTCGCCTCTTTAGCTCCTTGTGGCTGAGTGACAGATTGGCTTGGGGAGCTGTTGAGTTGGGGGGGGGGGTGCGGGAGACCTCCGTGCCCCCCCCCCCAAACCCCCTTTTACCCCATCCGGACTCCAGCTGCACTCACCACCTTCCTGGCTTCACGCTATCAGCTCCTCATACCCCCCCTCCCTCCCACCACCCCCCCGTTTTGAGTTGATTGCCCCCGCCGCCTCCTCCCCACCTCCATCTAATTTGACGTGGGAAGAGCGCTGGATGATTGCTGGAGGCGTCTACCCCCCTGCACCCTCTCTTTCTCTCTCATCGTGAGATGGAGAGAGAGGGGGGGGTGGTGGTGGCGGTGGTGGTGGCGGTATAGATGCTGTTGTTGTGGTGCTCGTGGTTGGTTGTGGTGTTGTCGCGGTGTTGTTGTTGTTGTTGCTTGCGGTGGTTGTTCAGGTTGATGCGTGGTTCTGTTTGTCGCGATGTTGGCGGTGGTAGTTGTGGTGGTCGGTGGAGTGTGGTTGTTGCTGTGATGGTGGTTGTTGTGTTGATTACTGATACAGTAATTTTGCTGTGACGGTTCCACCTGAAGACGAAAGCTTGTGTTGCCGCCGAAACGTCGTGATTAAATTTATTTGTTTTCTATCTTTACCTACGTGACTTTACCGAAAAAACCAAAGAATATGGATCCTTGCAGTCACGAAAACTTCAAATCTGGAATTCCCACAGAGACTCGCAGAGACACCGAGAGATGAAATGGAAGGCGAGCCAGAGTACGTGTGTGGCTATGCAACCGGCAGCGTGGCCCACACGGCAAACCCACTTTGTCGTCTGCGCTCCTCCAACGGAGGAGGAACTCCAAAACGAGACGAACTTTTCTCCGATTTATTTCGCGAATGCGTTGACACGCGACCTGTCACGCAGTTACGAGCGCAAGATATGCAAGATATAAAATAAATAAACTCTCTCCTGCAGCCCTCTCTCGTCGAGGCCGTCAAATCCTCCACGCGGGGGCATTTAGCCACCCAACGCGTTGCTGCCATCCGCCAAAAGAATACGATTGTCGTTATTAAATATATTTACACGTCCATAATGCAGGCTTTTTGGGTTAGATTACGATCCGACCCAAAAAGCCTAAATTATGGATGATATTCGCGAAAAGCCTACGTGTCAGACTGATGTATCTAAATGTTTTTTTTTCCTTTCAAGGCCAAGATGTTAACTGCCACAAAACGGATTTGCTCTCCGTTGTCGTGTTCGCTTGACGTTGTGCCGCGCGGTGCAAGAAGACCACACGAAGGCCGAGAGTCGCGCGCGGCGGTGCAAGCACAGACGTCACACGCAGGGGGAGGAGGATTCACTCACGGCGCGACCTGGTTCCCCCATCTCATTATGCACGAAGTACGTTCAATCTCTTTCGTACCATACGCAAGCCAACTCACGCTGCCTGCGAGTGGAACGGTGAAGGCGCAGCTCCGCAATGCCTCGCTCGCTCGCACGCACACCACCGGTGACGCGAGTTGCTTCCCACTAGAGGGGCGTCTTGTCAGGAACTCCCTCGTCCGTGCTGACCGGGCGCGTCACGGAGAGAGATGCACGTGCCCACGCGTCACCCCACCCCCGCACCCTCGACCTGCCGATCGCAGCCTTAACTCTGGTGAACCCATTCCTAGGTCAGCTGCTGGGTGGTGGCAGTGGCAGCGGTGGGTGGGTGGTGGTGGTGGTGGTGGTGAGAAACTTGCACCGTCGCTTCGACTGCCGTGCCGGGAGAGGGAATCGAACCGGCGCCCTCTGGGTGGCAAGTCCAGCGCGCTGACCGTCCCTCTTTACATTTAACCCCACGCTTGTCAGAAGCACACCTGGCCACCCCGTTTGTTAATGCTGTTTCACACAGCAGCGGAGAGTTCACCCACCCCTCCCTCTGCCTCCCCCCCCCCACCATTTCCCCCCCCCTCCTCCTGCCCCCCACCCACCACTCGCCCCCCTCTCCCGACTCAGCAAAGACCCCCGTCCCGTCGGCTCTTTGAATAATCGTGCGTAGCGTCGCTCATCCTCCCAGGCGTAAAAAAGCAAATCATGTGTCTCAAACGCCATTTATTCTTCAATTAAAATGGACAAATTGGCCGGTGGAGCATGAGATCGGAAGGGGAAAAATTTAATTCCACAGGAATTGCGAGCGGCAGGAGAACGGTGGTGGAGGTGCAGCGGGGGGGAGGTGGAGGGAAGTTCTGCACTCGTTATTCATCATCACGAAAGGCGGCAACAACCTCGGGCAAAGAAAAAAAATATTTATCTTCCGTGCTCCAACATATAAAAAATAATATAAATAAAAAGAGAATTATAACGGACTCGCCACCACCACACTTAGCGTGCAGAATAGAAATGCACTCGGTGCAAGCCACGGGGTTGGTGGTTGCTGGTGGTGGTGATTGTGGGAGGGGATGTGGTGGTGGTGGTGGTGGAGGGGTTCTGGTTGGGGAGTGGGAAGTGATTGTGGCGAGGGGCGGGTGGGGTAATGGGATGTGGTGGCGGTGAGTGGGTGAGTGGGTGAGTGGGATATTGTGGCGGTGAGTGGTGGTAGTGGTGGTGAAGGGTGGGTCTGTGGGATGTGGTGGCGGTGAGTGGCTGAGTGGGATATAGTGGTGGTGAGTGGTGGTGGTGGTGGTGAAGGGTGGGTGGTGGTGTTGATGGGTGGGTGTGTGGGATGTGGTGGCAGTGAGTGGGTGAGTGGGATATTGTGGCGGTGAGTGGTGGTGGTGGTGAAGGGTGGGTGTGTGGGATGTGGTGGCGGTGAGTGGCTGAGTGGGATATAGTGGTGGTGAGTGGTGGTGGTGGTGGTGAAGGGTGGATGGTGGTGTTGATGGGTGGGTGTGTGGGATGTGGTGGCAGTGAGTGGGTGAGTGGGATATGTGGCGGTGAGTGGTGGTGGTGGTGAAGGGTGGGTGTGTGGGATGTGGTGGCGGTGAGTGGCTGAGTGGGATATAGTGGTGGTGAGTGGTGGTGGTGGTGGTGAAGGGTGGGTGGTGGTGTTGATGGGTGGGTGTGTGGGATGTGGTGGCGGTGAGTGGGTGAGTGGGATATAGTGGTTGCGAGGGGTAGGCCAGTAGGTGAGTGGGATGTGTAGATGGTGGTGAGGTGGGTGGCTGAGGGAGATGTGTTACTGGTGAGTAGGGGCTGCTGGTGAGGATGGTGGTGCTCATGGATACGATGGGGGAGCGGTGGTGCAGGGGTTAGCGCTACGCTGCGCTACGAACCCGACGGCCCAAGTTCTATTCCCCCTCACGCCCAACACCATGATTATCTGAACCGGTCATGGGCCTCCCCTAGGTCAACTCAGCCTCAAATGAGTACCTGATGCAATATGTAAACATTGCCACTCGGGAGACAAAGGCGGCCGGGCGTGATGTTGGCAACCCACCCCCTCGTGTGCCCTGCCGGCCTTCATAGGTGCTCGCCAACAGCACTTGCCCCAACAGTCTGTTAAGGCTACACGGGGGATCTTTGTCTTTGGGAGGGGATGTAACAATCTGTAACAGGACTCAGGCCTCTGGGAGGATCTCCCAGCCCGGCCCAGACCTCGCTGTGGCCTCAACCTCATCACAACGTGTCCACAGACTCCGCGAGTCTTCAGTGAGCACTGGAGCGGGGGTGGGGCGGATGAACAACATCAGCATTTGGGGAGACAAAGGCGGCCGGGTGTGGTGCTGCCCATCCACCTCCTCGTGCGCCGTGACAGGCTTAATAGCTGCCCGCAAACAGCACTTGCCCCCAAAGTATAATACGGATACACGGGGAATCTTTTTCTTGTCCGTGTGTGTATAACCATGTGTGCATCTCTGTGTATCTCTGTGTGTATGTCTATGTGTGTGTATAACCCTGTGTATATCTCTGTCTATCTCTGTGTGTATGTCTTTGTGTGTGTATAACCCTGCGTGTTTCTCTGTGTATCTCTGTGTGTATGTCTATGTGTGTGTATCACCCTGTGTGTATCTCTGTGTATATGTCTTTGCGTGTGTGTGTGTATAACCCTGTGTGTATCTCTGTGTGTCTCTGTGTGTATGTCTATGTGTGTGTATCACCCTGTGTGTATCTCTGTGTATCTCTGTGTGTATGTCCATGCGTGTGTGTGTGTATAACCCTGTGTGTATCTCTGTGGGCGTGTATAACCCTCCTGTATGTATCTCTGTGTGTATGTCGATGTGTGTGTGTATCTCTGTGTATCTCTGCGTGTATGTCTATGCGAAACCGGCCATGACCCGACTTCGATTCCCGCTCACGGCCCACACCAGTAACGATTATCGGAACCGGTCATGGGCCTCCCCTAAGTCGACTCGGCCTCAAATGAGTACCATCTGGGGAGACAAAGGCGGCCGGGCATGGCGCTGGCCACGCACCCAGCTCGTGTGCCACAATGTCGCTCACGAACAGCCCTTGCCCCAGACAGTCCGTCGAGGCTACGCATCTTTGTCTTCGTGTGTGTGGGTGGAGGTAGCCTGGTCGGTAAAGTTTGTAGGTTATGTTTGATGGCCCCTAAGGGAGCGCTCTCGCTTGCCTCATTCCACATGCCCCCCCCCCTAGCTCCAACCCCCACCCCACTCCTCCTCCTTCCCCCCCCAACTCCATCCCTCTCCAAGCCACGGGGCAGATGGGGGAATGGCTCCAATGCGCTCTCCCCTTCTCGCTTAATTGCCCAAAACAAGACAGCCCCAGTGAGCAACGCACGCCACGCAAAAGACAAAGGTGCCCCGGATAGCCTTCAAAGCAGACTGCGTGCGCGGTGCACCAAACAACCACCACCACCGCCACCACCGCCACCACCACCGCCACCACCGCCACTACCACCACCACCACCGCCACCACTACCGCTACCACCACCGCCACACAAAAGACAAAACGCAACGGCCGCGTGCACACAAGGGTAACGAGATGCCACCAACCCCCCTCACCCTACCCCGTCGACAGCACTTGCACCAAAAGTCTGTCGAGGCTATACGGGGTGGGTGGCGGGGGGGATCTTCGTCTTTGTATAATGCCTCGATGCGCGCGTGCACACAAATAAAGACAAAGATTCCACGCTCCCCCCCCCCCCATAGCCTCAATAGACTGTTGGGGCAAGTGCTGTTAGTGAGCACCTATGAAGGCATACGAAGGGTGGGTGGGTGGCCAGCACAATGCCCGTCCGCCTTTGTTTCCAGCAGCGCGCTTACTCCGCGCACAAACACACACCCCGACATACATACATACAATCATAACAAGGCAAAGATCCATCATATCACCTTCAAAATACTATTGGGGAAAGTGCTGTTTTGCGAGCACCTCTAACACTCACTTAATGATTCAATTAAATTCACAAACAAAGCCTCACATCAAGAACACCGTGGCCTTAAAGAAAAGATCTATATATAATAGGCGACGTTTCGGGTAATGGCCCTTCTTCATGGCACTTGTCAATTGAGACGCGTTACATTGTTTTTTTACGCTGGGAACCAACGATCGTTTGTCAGGATTATGCTGACAGCGTTTTACAAACACCACCACCACCACGAACAACAACCACCACAACAACCACCACAACAACCACAACAACCATCACATCATCGTCATTAGCTCAGAGGAGCAAAAATCCACTTACGAAGTCAGGAGCCACCAATGAGAGACTGCGACTCCTCCTCATGTCCCACGCTTGCGCCAAAACTAGAAAACACAAGACATGGATACATTATAGTTAGATTACTTGTAAATAATAATCATCATCATCATACGGATCAATAGCCTGCTGTTGTGTTGAAACAGAGCTTCATTGCAGCCGAACGATCAATATTTCCCACCCCACAACCCCGGCATCTCCGAGGAGCACGTTTGGCCACTACGTACGGTGCGAAAGAAGTTCAACAGGCGTCCGTACACCCGGTACACCACTTCCAGTATTATTATTCCCGTCGGGTGTAGAGGGCGGGGGAGGGGGTGCTCATAATTTTCAAGATTTTATGGCAGCTATGCCGAGCATCGTCAGCGCAACTCGCAAAGCCACCACGCCAGGTCACGTAATTGCACAGCAGGCACAAAAAGAGAGACACTTTTTACTTACGAAAACTATTCGGAACACGTATACAAGCAATCTTTACCAGATACTGTGGTGGAAATTCCACATTCATAATATGGCCGGGGGTGGGTGGGGGGGAGTCTATCTGTAGGACGACCACAAAGTGATAGAAATGTTATCAGTCCCGGAGGGATTATGGGCTGGGACGATCAATATAGTTCAGTTGTCCATAATCGAGGTTTTTGTTGGGTTAGATCACGTAAATATAAATTTGTCGTTAAATCCGCCACCACCCGACACATTTATACTCACGCGATGCAACTCAAAAAACCTTCATCGTGAATAATATTTGTTCGCAAGAGCCTCCGACGTGTTCAATTGGCACGTTCAGTTATACAAATCTGGCGAGGCACAACCGATCCGCATTATTGTTTACGTCTCATCATCCGGAAAACATGGCACTGTGTTGCTATTACCAGAGGAGTGTTGTCAACTGTTGCGCAGGAGAGTACAGCATCGTCACCGAGTACTGTACAACAGTGGCACCAACCAAATACACGTGACAGAAGAGAGTAACACCGTGTTGGTAAAAATACTGGACTTGGAAATAACCCAATAACGCACAAGCCCGTTCGGCCAATCCACCGCTGGATGATGAAACTTCCCGGAATCCCCTGGCAATATCGGGCGATAATCCGACCGTACTTCACCATGCTGGTTACGACGCGGTGTGCAGAAGCGAGAGGAAGATGCAGGGACCGATTTAGGACATTGCCACTCGCTAACGATGTGAGACACTAGCCGTGGCCTCGAATCTGACCTCGGCACGCCAACTTAACCACCGCGCCACCGCTCCTCTCGGCAGTGCAACGTTACACACACACACAACGTTACACACACACACAACGTTACACACACACACATTACACACACACGTTACACACACACACAACGTTACACACACACACAATACACACACACACAATACACACACACACAATACACACACACACATTACACACACACACATTACACACATTACACACACACACAACGTTACACACACACACATTACACACACACATTACACACACACACAACGTTACACAGACACACATTACACACACACACACAACGTTACACACACACAACGTTACACACACAACGTTACACACACAACGTTACACACACATTACACACACGTTACACACACGTTACACACACACAACGTTACACACACAACGTTACACACACATTACACACACACAACGTTACACACACACACACACACAACGTTACACACACACACAACGTTACATGCACACACACAACGTTACACACCCACATTACACACACACAATGTCACACACACACAAAGTTACACACACACCACACCACACACACACTACACCACATACACACACACGTTACACACACACACATTACACACACACACATTACACACACACGCAACATTACACATACACCACATTACACACACACCACACACAATATTACACACCACACACACAAAGAGACTAGCTATCACTTATCATACGTTAACGGATTAGAGAGGGAGGTGGGGGGTCTCCCTCCAGCAGCGGATCGACCACGACGACGACGACCACGAGGCGTGGGATGGCAGTAACGAGATGTGGAGAGGCTCCCATCCAGCAGTGGAGCGCTCGCTCCAACAGCAGCGCGTCGCCTCGGGGGTCCGGGGTGGAACTCTGACGGCCGCCTGCGATGTGAGCGGCGCTTTTAAAGGTGGAGTTGGACACTTGTGTGAAGGCGGAGAAGACGAAGGGGCTCCCTCGCACCCCCCTGGCCAATAGCGGCAGACGCTGTGACACGCGCCGAGACGTAGAATAAGCAATGGCTGGGGGTGGCGGGTTATCTAATTATTTATGTCCGCATTTCTTTATTTATATTCGCTGCTGCTGCTGGTGGTGGTGGAGGATGAATTGGGTGGGAGGGGGGGGTGAAGAGGGTTGGGGTAAGAAGAGGGGAGGTGGAGGAATAAGGAGGAAGAGAGGGCGACGACGACGATGATGATGATCGTGATGCCACCTGCGCTACCCAACCGGCGATCCGAGTTCCGATTCCCGGCTCACGGCCAACATCGGGTGACGGAGATTCTGAACCGGCCCCTGGCGTCCGCTCGCGCTCGACTCAGCCCTTCGACGAATAACCACGGCGCCGTCAGCACTGGGAAGACAAAGGCGGCCGGGCGTGGAGTCTGGCCGCTCTCCCCCCCCCCCACACACCCACCCCTCGTGTGCCGTTTCATGCCCTAAAATAGGTGCTCGCTAACAACGCTTGTCCACTGCTGTCTGGTTTTTTTACGCGCTGGGTGGGGTGGGGGGCTCCTGTTAATACTGTGGTGGGGGGGGGGGTCGATAGGGAAGGAAGCAGCAGGTGACGCCCCTCTAAGCCTGTAAGCCCTGGCAGATGGTGACACGGGGTGGGGGGCGGGTGGGGGGGGCACGCGTCAAGAGGACGCCCGCTTCTAAATGGCGCTGAAAGCTCCGCTCAGGGAAAAGGGCGGAGAGGCGTGGGCGACAATGAATGGGAGAGCGCGCGCGTGGATGGGGAGAGGAGGGGTTGGTTGGGGTGATGGTGATGATGGGGGTTGATGGGGGTTGGGGGGAGAGAGTGGATGGGAGAGCGTGTGTGGGGGGATGATGGTATGGATGGGGAGAGGAGGGGTTGGTTGGGGTGATGGTGATGATGGTGGTTGGTGGGAGAGAGTGGATGGGAGAGCGTGCGTGGGGGGATGATGGTATGGATGGGGAGAGGTGGAATTGGTTGGGGTGATGGTGATGATGGGGGTTGGTGGGAGAGAGTGGATGGGAGAGCGTGTGGGGGGGGATGATGGTATGGATGGGGAGAGGAGGGGTTGGTTGGGGGATGGAGCTTGGGGGAGAGTGGATGCCAGAGCGTGTGTGGAGATGATGGTCTGGGTGGGTGAGATGTGGCGTGGGTGTAGCGATGGGGGATGATGGTGATTATGGATTATTCGTTGGGTGAGAGCATGTGTGGGAACGGGGAGAGGGTGGGTAAGATGATGGTGATGTGGTGGCGGGGGTGTAAGTGGAGAGATGATGGGAGGAAGCGGCAGGGGAGCGGCGATGCCAGAGAGCGCCCACACACAAAGAAAAAGACAAAGATCCCCCGTATAGCCTTAACAGACTGTAGGGGCAAGTGCTGTTAGCGAGCACCTATGAAGGCCAGAACGGTACACGAGGGGGTGGGTGGCCAGCACCACGCCTTTGTCTCCCCAGTGGCGATGTTTACACACCGCACCAGGTACTCATTTGAGGCTTAGTCGACCTAGAGGAGGCTCGGGACCGGTTCAGATAATCGTCACTGGTGTTGGCCGTGAGCGGGAATCGAACCCGGCTCGCCGGATTCATAGCGCAGCGCGCTAACCGCTACACTACCGCTCCCCACACACACGCACAGACACACACGCACAAACACACACACGCACGCACACACACGCAGACACACGTACACACACACACGCGCGCACACACGCGCGCACACACACACGCACACACGCGCACACGCACGCACACACGCACACGCGCGCACACGCGCGCGCACACGCGCGCACACGCACGCACACACGCACACGCACGCACGCACGCACACACACACACGCAACTTGACTATCGGCTCATCGACTGCGCAAAAGGCATTCACCACCTCGCTCATTACGCAATTACCACACACCCGGGCAATTACATCTCATTGCTCATTACTACTGATGTGGATAAAACGCAGGCGGCGCAGAGCCCAGCCGGGCCGTTTGGAATCCACGGTTCAATTCCCGCACCCGTTAGGAAATGGCGCGTGCAGTTGGTATCGGTCAAAGCGTCTTAAACATTTTATTTTTGTATTATCGTCATTGAGACGCCATATAAATTGTAATTGCCGCATCATCACTGCCATCGTCATCGTCGTCGTCGTGCTACGATTGATTTATTGGACGACGGTAAACTTCTGATCGTGCACTAACCAGCGAGGTGAAGTATGGTTAAACAACCCGCCCCCCCCCCCAGCCTACATCAGCTGTGTACTGACACAGACGTGTTCAACGTCACGCCGTTGCAATTCTGTGTGGAGTTCGACTCAAGCAAAATGTGACAGACGCAGCAAAACGAAACAAAAAAACCACTCGCTGGCTTTAAAATAAATGAGTAAACTAATACATCAGGCGATATTTCGGGCAATGGCCCTTCGTCAGATCACGTACAAAGACAAACACATGTAAAAAAAAAGTCCCTTTCAACGGCGCTTTTCTTTTTAGAGAGGGGATAACGTGACCTAGAGAGCGGTCAACCACGAAAAAGAGGCGACAACGACCTCGACAGGCGCCGCCTCACTGCCATCTGCGAGCTGTAGAGGCGACAATGCCGCATCTGTGTGCGCAACAGTTCCACGCGTTTTGGACAAGGCGAAGAGAAAGAGAGTTGGGGGGAGGAGGGGTGGTGGTCGTGGATTGCAACGCCATTCATCATCATCGTCGGTGTCGTCGTCATCACCATCGTCGTCGTCACCATCGTCATCGTCACCGTCACCGTCACCATCGTCACCATCATCATCACCGTCACCATCATCATCATCACCATCGTCATCATTGCTA